CCTGGTGGCATCCCTGCTAACTTGAGAAGCTGGGACAGAGAGATTAAGAGTCGAAGGCCTGACCAAGTGACTTAGTGAGACCAAAGGGCAGAGGGCTGGGGTTGTAGCTCACATAGGTAGAGCCCTCATCTGGTATCTGTGTGGCCCTGGGTTTGATCCCAGCTCTACAACCAATTAACTGAAAATTTTCGATGTTACTGTTTTCATTTTCAAGACAGTATGAAGGTAAGATCATTAGGTAAGTATGGGCAGACAGTTTATGGGGGATGCCAAATGGCTGCTTTCCAGATCACAGAAGGAAAATCATCTCTAGGGGTTCAGGGAAGGGGAGACACTAACAAAGGAGCCCCATGAGCTGGGAAGGCTAAGTAAGTCTCCCCACTGCACTGCCTGGGCCCCCAGGGAACACAATGATGTACTGCGGACATCCAGACTGCTAATACAGAATTTTAATGTTCTCACCACAGATGAAACAAATAAACTGGTGATAAGATAAGTATGTCTGTTAACTTGACTGACTTCCTATAATATATAAAGCAAAGCCCCACACTGTGCCTCAGAAATGCAGTTACCTACCAGTTAAAAAAACAAAACAAATCAATGCTATTACATGAAGACTATCTCTAATCAATAATCAACATCAGACATCATGGAAGAAGTTCCAGAGACACCCCTGGAGATGGGGAAAACAAGATGACAGTGGCCACTACTACTATGATTCTCGTCTTCCAGGAGGGAAGTGAAGTTTATGAAGGTTTAAGTAGCTTTCCCAGGGAGCTGCTAACTGGTCAAGCAGGGGTCTGACCAGATGGGCTGAACCTGTGATCCAATGCTCTGGTGTCAAATGCCTGGAGTAAACAGTAGTAAGAAGTCAACACAGCCAGAAAGCAGCTGTCTGTTTTCAGTCAACACTTGTCCAGCCACAGGTATTGCACCTGAGTGTCCAAGAGGCTTTGGGAAAGATCTTGTGAGCTACCAAGACGGGAGGGTAGGGCACACATGTATAGGCTAGAAGAAAGAAAGCAGCTGGGTTCTGTTCTCTGACATGCTGGAGAGTTGGTTTGTTTCAAACCATTAATGTATTTTGGAAAAGCAAAAGAATTTCTCTTCCTTCATTCACAAAACCAGAAAAGTGGTATTTCTGGTATGGGCTAGAAGCAGAGCGTTCTATAAATACAAACCCATTAGATCCCATGCAGCAGGAACCTGATCAGGGACCCCTTTTAATTTCCTAATGTGTGCTGGCCACTAACCCAATTACCCAGAATCCCTAGAGAGAAGCTTTCTGCTTTTCCAACATGCACGAAGAGAGTGAAAGCATATTGCATGGCCGTCAGCCCAGCTCTCACTGAAATCAAATATCTTTCAGAAAACACTTGGGAAGAGGCAGACGGGGCTGAGCAGGAAGGGGACGGCAGGAGTGGCTGGAGGAAGGGTGAGTCATGAGAGGAAGAGGTAAAGTGGGACAAGCTGGCCAGGGAGAAGAATTCAGGTCCCAGAGCTGAACTGAAGCCTGGGGGGCACCGTACAGATGAGATGCAGAAGTGGGCTTTCTAGTCTGAAGACTGAATCAGCCCCCACCTGAGATGCCAGGCACCATCTTAATCCATTCGGACTCCAGAACTCCTAGAGGATCAGCCTCAGGTAATGGCATCCCCTTGGAGTCCCAGCAGCAAATCCAGGAAGGAAATCAATGGGTCCAGGCTGCCTCACTCGACTCAGTGGGCAGCTGTAGAAAACACAAGGGTCAACTTGAGTAACACCAGCTGAATATTGCCAGAAGGCTGCTGACACACCAAAGCAATGCCACGGCTGTCCCATTGGATCCTCACCTTTAGTTGGTGGTGAACAGCAGGTCTCAAAGGAGACAAAGAAAGGAGGTCCAAGGAGCATTACGTATGAGAACCACAAAGAATGCCAGTGGCCAGCTCTGAACCCACATCAGAAAAAAGACTTTCCCTAAAAATGTGAATTGTCATACATAGATCTGTGTAAAGACGATGAGATACTGCCTTCAGTCACCAAGGCTCTAGTTATCTATCCCAGGACAGACAGGACAAAGCCAAAGGAAGCCATGTAGAAAACAGGATCCATCTCCAACTGCTCGAGGCATCTGACTGGCTTTGATCGTGAGACAGGACACCACATATTTGACTTCATAACCCTAGTAATGGTTGCTCCTAAATCTTGGATCAGCAGCACAGACTATTTCACTAAGAAAAGGTTATTGGAGACATCTTGAGCTGCTGGGTAGAAGGGAGGAAATGAGGTACTGAGGCAGACGTGGGGAGGAAAGGAGTGGCACTCACACCCCGTTTCCCTGTAAGACTCAGGAACCCGTTTCCCAGATGACTGTGAGACCCTAACACAGGAAGCAGCCCAGGGAAGTGTGAAGTTTGTTTTCAGAACCAAGTCAGAGGCTGGGGGGGTTGGGGTGGGGGAGGGCCCTAGGGACCAAATATTGCACACATAGCAAAGAGGGACACCCAAACAAAAGCAGGAGCCAGGACAACTGCCAAGAGCTCTACCTGGCAGGGACCCAGACTCCTGCAGGAAGGAGGCCTGCTCCTCCCCGGAGGCTGGTCCCCACGGAGCTTCTGATGCCAGCTACACACAGCTCTATGGGGACGCACACTAAGCCAGGAGCTCGGCTTCACCCACACTCGGGAGTTTCCTGTCAGTTCTTCCCTTTCAGATACAGGCCTGCCAGCACTGGAGGTGAGGTGGGGTGGGTGTGCCCTGGTGACTGTCTCTTCCTCCTTCAGGCAAAGCTACCTCATGGCTGCATCAGGCTCAGCACATCTGCCCGGGGGACATCTGGCTGCCAGTGGGGAAGCCACTCCTGGTGGTGAGACAACTCTGGGGACCACCCTGCAGATCCTCCTACTTGGATGGCATGTATCCTTGCCTAGTGTAGGAGGCAGGGGACCTCGTCACCCCTCTATCTTGGCCACAACTATACACAACAGAGACCAAAACTGTGCAGCAGTGTGAAACACGGTTTTACATACAGCAAGCCCCAACACAGCCCATTTCAAACTAGGAAAAGGCTGTTTCCTCCATAGATCCCCACATAGCAGCTGGCACATCCCCAAAGGGGTTAAGAAATGACAAATGAAGAAGGGATTTGTGCTGGACAGTTTTATGTCAACTTGATACAAGCTAAAGTGATCTGAGAGGAGGGAACCTAAGTTAAGAAAAATGCCTCTATAAAATGGGGCTGTAGGCAAGCCTGTAGGGCATTTTCTTAATTAGTTATTGATGGGGGAGGACTCAGCCCCTAGCAGGTGGTGCCATCCCTGGGCTGGTGGTCCCAGGTTCTATAAGAAAGCAGGCTGAACAAGTCAGAGAGAGCAGGCCAGTAAGCAGCACTCCTCCGTGGCCTCAGCTCAGCTCCTGCTTCCTGTTTCAGTCCTGTCCTGTCTTCCCTCAGTGACGAACAGTGATGTGGAAGCGTAAACTGAATAAATCCTCTCCTCCCCACTTTGCTTTTGGTCATGATATTTCATCACAGCAACAGACCTGTAACTAAGGCAGGACTTTAAGGCCCAGTGTGCTGCAGACCCAAGAGGTCCCTGGAAGCTGTGTTGAGAGCTGCCTCATGGGTGCAGATGCTAACTGAGCCAGGTGAGGAATGGAATGACTGGAATTTTCAATAACACCAGAAGTTCCATCCAAGCTCTCTCACAGGCAAACATCTCAGCGATAGATACTTTTCCAGCAGGCACAGGAGGAGTGGGGAAAGCTCCTGGGCCTGCTGAAGGCTGAGCTAGGTTTGGGGAGACCAGCAACTCCACCTTGCCCTTCCCAGGGAAGACTGCACCCAAGCAGTCTCTGCCCTCCTCTTTGCTCATCCTGCTCCTCATCCCTATAAACTCTTGGGAAGGATCAAGGCTCAGAAGCTGAGCTGTAGGAATCTGTGCTGGCTCTGAGGGCATCACACATGCACATGCAGGGGTGTGTGTACACGGAATCATAACACACGCAGGCACACACGCATCCCACTCCTAAAATGGTACTGAATGAGATTCAAACCAGGCAGATCCACACAGATGGTGAGCAAGGGCCCTACAGCAGCCTTCCCAACAATGAGCCCCCTCTCACATTTCCTGGGAGCCACTTTTAAAGCAAAAAAGATGCACAAGATGCCACAATGTTAATATCATTGTGCTTTTAGTTAACTCAATCTGGGACCAGGGTTCAGTTTCCAGCACCACCTATAACTACTTCCAGGAGATCAGATTCCCTCTTCTGACGCCAAGGGCACAGGTATGCACATATATTCATGCAGGACTTACACATACATACAAAAGTTAAAAGCTAAATGGACAACAAATGTTTTAAAAAGGACACACCTTTTGAGGGAATTAAATATAGCTCAGTTGGCACTTGTGACTTCTGCCTATTGCACTGAATGGAAACCTAATGAGCCAGGTGACTCTAGAGGGAAAAAGCAACAGGAAGGAAGCCAGAAGCGAAGATGGAAGACAAACAGGAGTGGGGAAACCCTTAACAGGCAAGACACACATCCTGAACTCTACTAGAAGCAAGGACCACTCCTTGAGTATGCCATTACCCACCCCCAAACCTGGAGAAGCATTGGGAGTTCTAGTCCACCTGCCAAGATAGAGGGGGGTCCTAATCCAAATGAGGACTTCCCAGGGAGACAAGATAACAGCTGAGGATCCAAATAGGATCTGGAGTCCCAAAAGGATCCTTGGGACCTCCCTACTTTCACCTTACTAGTCCACATCTTTTCAAGAGAAGCCCAGCAGGCTACAGAGTAGCAGCCATGACAAGACAGCCTGTAGCCCTGTGTGGACACATGCAAGCATACATGCATACATACATACATACATACATCGTGTGTGCGTGTGACACACACACACAGCCCTTGGGGAAGCCCTAGGCCTGTAGGTATCCTCAAACAGGCCTGACACTCCCCACCAAGACAAACCAAGCGGAGTCCTGACCCTGGCAGGTGGCTGTGGGCCTCTTACCTTCCTTCAGCATCCCCACTTTGAGGCATTTCATGAAACGGCAGGCCTGACAGGACTTGCGCCTCCGTTTGGTGATCTCACACTCGTTGGTGGCTGGACAGCTGTATTCGATGTTTCCTGCAACATAGAGAGGGTTGCCAGGTGCCTGCTGTCCATCCCGGACCCCAGCCCATTTGGTTGACTGTCTGGGCATTAACTGGCCAGAGCTGACTTGCCCCACCTAGGGTTGCACAGGGAAGTGCTACTAGAAGGGGGGACTCAAGTGGCTGTCCAAGACACTTCAAACTCTCTCCCATGCCAATTCTAGCCTGTGAGCTGGGTGGGCCAAGCTGTCACCTGGGGAGAAAAAAACATCTTTCTTCTGAGCATGGTCACTCAGGGTTCTGAAACACAGGATGGGGGTGAGGGAGGATCAACACATGCTGAGACAGCATTTTATCCCAGGACACCAGCCCGCCCCAGCTCCTCCAGCCTCCAGCCTGCACCTGTCACTAGGAAAAGCCCAGGAACGCCGTGGCAGGGCTTGGACTCTGCTCCCACTGGGGGTCAGGCCACCTAGCTCCCCTGACTATGAGGACCTATCTTTCCTGTCACCCAGCCTTAGTTTCCTCAAATGCAAGATAGCCGTTAGCTCCAAGGGAAGGGTCGAACAAAACCTTATGCGGAAACTCACTTTAAAAAACTATAGGCTAGGCTAGGTGTGGTGGTGCATGCTTTTAATCCCTACAGAGGCAGGGATCTCTTTTTGAGGCCAGCTTGTTGTACATAATGTGTCCCAGAACAACCAGGGCTGCACAGTGGGACCCTGCATCAAAACAAACAGATAGACAGACGGACAGACAGATATAAATTTAAAATAAAAAAAGACAAGTTGTAGCCCAGGTTAGGCATGGCAGTGTGCATTCCTGTCATTTTATTTTTATTATGACTATTTTATTTATTTATTGTGTGTGCATGTGTATTAGCGGGAGCGAGGGAAGTATGAGTGCCAGTGTGTATGGAGGCCAGAGGGCAACTTTCTGGGCAGGCATCAGTTTTCTCCAACCACATGTCTCATGGGATTGAACTTAGGTCACCAGGCTTGCCAGCAAACCGCCTTTACCCACTGAGCCATCTCGCTGGCTCTGCAATCTGAGCACCTGGGAGGTGAGCTGGAGGCAGGAAGATCAGACTCATTGTTATCTAAAAATAAAGTTCAAGTACATGTCTTAGAAACAAAATGGGGCTGGGATGTGGCTCAGTTGACAAAGTGCTTGCTCGGTGTGCTGAAGTCCTGGGTACTACACACCCAGCAGCACATAAACCAGACCTGGTGTAGATCCTAGCACCTGGAGTAGAAGCAGGGGGATTAGAAATTCAAGGTCATCTTTTCCTACAGAACAGGAATTTGAGGGCAGCCTGGGCCACAGGAACATAGCAGTGAACAAAAATAAAGAACTACTGCGTAAGTATAGCAGCCCATTCAATTAGTCCCAGCACCGGAGATGCTGAAGCAAGATGCTCAACGGTTTGAGGGTAATGTGGGTATGTGCTCAGACCACCGCCAACTATTAAAACCAAACAACAAACCCCTTCAGCACATGCGGTGTTTATTTTATAAAGCCATCTTCATTGTGAAAGCGTGACTGCCTTTCTGAATCAGGGACAGAGTCCACCCTGAGTCCCCTGTCTTTTCAACACCTATTGTTAAAAAACTGAACAACTGTGGACTGTGTGCCTACATGTCTGGTACTAGAAAAGAAAGCAACAAAAGGCACCAGGGTCCTTATCACATCCCAGAGGTTCAGGGAGAAGCTGGGGCCCTGCCCTTGCTCTGCTACTACCCACTCACAGTAACAATAGCTAGGCCTTATTGTGAACCTACTACGTGCCACCTCTGGATCAGCATTGTTAAAAAACTGAACAACTGTGGACTGTGTGCCTACATGTCTGGTACTAGAAAAGAAAGCAACAAAAGGCACCAGGGTCCTTATCACATCCCAGAGGTTCAGGGAGAAGCTGGGGCCCTGCCCTTGCTCTGCTACTACCCACTCACAGTAACAATAGCTAGGCCTTATTGTGAACCTACTACCCTAACTCTCAGCTGGCCTTCTCTTGACCCTTACCCTAACTCTCAGTTGGCCTTCTCTTGACCCTTACCCTAACTCTCAGCTGACCCATCAGTGCCCAATTCACAAACCAAGAAATGGAGACTCGGGAAGCCCAAATGAGCTACCTCAGGCCCAGAGCCCCTATACCTGTATCTCACAAGGAGCTTGAAGAAATTAGTAAGTGCCTCACCCACCAAGACAAGCTTCTGTTACTAACCCAGCAGCTGAGGTGGCCTGGTGGCCAGGAGGGGAGGTAAGTGTCACAGATCATCCCATACCGCATCCTCCTGGTGTGGGTTATGGGAACACTCTCAGGTCTCCCAGTGCAAAGCAGGAGCCATGGGACACCAGTGACAAAGGGCTCTGAAGCAGTATCACTTCTGGGCCCAAGTTCCCACAGTGCCTCATTCCCCAGAGCTCAGACCAAGGAACCTCAGAGCCCCATGACAACTCCCTCCTCTCATTACACCCCTCGTTTCTTCTGATCAGTGCTATTCCATTTTTTCTTTGCATTTGTACTGCATTTTATTTATTTATTTATTTATTTATTTTTGGTTTTTCGGGACAGGGTTTCTCTGTGTAGCTTTGGAGCCTATCCTAGCACTCGCTCTGGAGACCAGGCTGGCCTTGAACTCACAGAGATCCGCCTGCCTCTGCCTCCTGAGTGCTGGGACCAAAGGCATGCGCCACCAATGCCAGGCTTGTACTGCATTGATTTACTTGTGTACTCATGTGTGCACTGTGCCATGTGTGGGTCCCAAGTGCCCACAGTGTATGTTTGGAGACCAGAGAACATCTTCTTCGGAGTTGCTCCCTCTTCTAACATGTGGATCCTAAGGCTCAAGCTCGGGCCACCAGGCTCAGCAGCAAGTACCTTTCCCCACTGAGCCTTCTCGTCAACCCCTCCAATGTTATTTCTGAGAGAACTCACTGGTGTAAACTTCATGGGAAGTCAACTGGGGTGTGGCAGCAGTTTCAATAGCCATATGAACATGGTTTTTGTTTTTCTAGTGATTTTTAATTTTTGAGACAGGATCTGGCTCTATAGCCCAGACTGGCCTCAAACTCAGGGATCCTCCTACATTGGCCTCCTCAGTCTTGGATTACAGATGTTGAGTCACTACACCTGGTTATTACCAAAGATAAATGAGAGAGGAAAACGCCGGTTCAGCTAATGCATCTGTCCCCTGTGTGTGTTGTCTAAGAAGTTCTGTAGCCTGTCCACTACCCCACCTAACCATCTTCACACCATCCACAGCCTGAATCCCTCCCACGCCCCAGCACTGTGCATAACGACCAGTTTCTAGAGCTGGCAAAGAGAGGCAAGTCCACCAAGTGTCCTTTGCCCCAAGCCTGCAGGCCACCAATCCAGATCCCACTGGTGAGGTTCTGGCTGCTTCTCTCTGTCGACCACCCTATGCTGCCCCAGAATCCATGTCCTGTCTATTTCCTCCATGCAGGCCAGTTCCTCTTGCCCAAATACCTGACTCACACACAGTAGGTTCCCAAAGCACACTAACCACTAAGTAACCAAACATTCAGTGATGCAGCTGCAGCCCTGCTCAACCTATATTAAGTCTTTAACTTGGCCAATTTCTCCCCATTTTATAGATGAGAACCAGGTATAACAGTGCATGCCTGTAATCCCAGCCCTCGGGAGGCTGAGACTTTAGGAAAATCACAAAGTCCAGAATAAGACAGGCTACACAGTGAGAGTCTGGTTTGTTTGTTTTAAAGTTTTTACAAGTGAAAAAAAAGGGAGAGCACAACTCTAGCAGAAGCAGCCTGGAAAATGAACCCAGGTGGCCTGCTCACAAGAGCTGTGCAGTTCAGACGTCTATGCTCTGTTTTCATTGCAGCCAGCCACCCCTGAGTGAGGGTGAGCCACAGCTTATTTATTGCTCAGAATGGGGGGGGGGGAGACCAAGAGCATGTGAGGGTTTGGTCCTGCTGTCTTCCTAAGACAAGATGACAGGACAAGAGTGCTTCCCAAGGCAAGAGTGCTAACAGCGAGTGTGGGGCAATGCTCCTGACCTTTCAGGGTGTGCGTGTGCGGATGCATGCAAACACACACGAGTGCCTGTGTGTGCTTCTAATTTCACTTATTTAGTTTGTTCCTTTCAATTTGTTTTATGGGCCTGGCGGCCAGCTGCCAGCAAACCCAGGCTGGTGGCCTCGCCTTGTAATTTCTCTAAGTGCCTCCTTGATAAAGTGATGAGATTAATTCATCATTGTTCCCATGGTCTCAAGGGGAGACCAGGAGATCTCAGCACAGGACGGGGGCATCAGTGAGCGTGCGCAGTTGTGAGCACACTCAAGAGTGTGCACACATGCACATGTGTACACACACACACACACACACACACTAACTCAGGTGTGACCAAGTAGTGAATAGGACTTTAGACCACAGCTAACACAAACTCAGGTCCCAACCTGGAAGTTTGTCTGCTGCAGACACCGGCAGATTCCACTTCTGGGAAGGTGAGACTTCTCTGAGTCTCAGTTTCCTCATCTATAAAAAACAGGTATAGTTTCCATCTCAAAATTGGATGAATTCACACACCACGACTGAGTGGAGCATCTGGTAACCAGGCAGGCGAGGCGAGGCTTAGTACATACTTAGTATGTACTAAGTCTTACATACAGGCAGATCTGAGGGAGTAGACTAGCCTCTAGCCTGTCAGTCACACTGAGGCTGTCCACCCAAGGACACTTGAGAGCACTGTAATTGGTGGATGGCGGGACCCGTTTGTGCCTGAGGGAGAGGAAGGCATATCCGGAGCTGAGCTGGTGTGACCCTGAGGCAACGAGGTAGTCTCTTTGATCCTAGGCCACCCTGAGAAGGGAATCCCAGAGGAAGCCACACCAGCTGTCCCCACAGTTGCAGGCAAGCCAGCAGCCCTATCCATGGTTGGGCACAGGAGCTGTTAAGCTCAAACAGTCCCAAGGCTCCAGCTGACCTCAGAGGCAGTGGTGAGCAGCTGCCCTGAAGGGCTGGGCTCTCATTTATCTCAGTCCTGGAGGACA